TAAAATTTATGTTACACAATTATCAAACCAGCGGCGTTTTTGTGACCATCATATTGAGACAGATATTCTGTCGCTCGGTTAACAAGTACTCATTCACCACAGTACCACACTTCATCGACCCACTGATCAAACTTGCCCTCTGCTACACCATTGTAAAATTTTATTACGGGCTTGAATCATCGCGCTATGTGTCCTGGTGTGCTACTGCGTTCAAGCGATAAGAAGTGTTTCAGAATTGAATTGTAAAATGTCGGTTATCATATATATCCTTTTTGTTTTACAAGAAATTCTTTACTCGACTTTAGTACCTATGCATTCAACCATAATAACGTAAAAATGCAGCATGAGTATATAACGGCCAAAGGGAGCACAGCGTCATGCACAAAGCCCAAGAAGCCCGGGCAATTGTCGCGTCACAGTCCCGTCCAGCCGGCGCGCGGGCAACTCGGCCGTGCCGTGGCCCGTGGGGCAGGCGCCACGACGTTCCGGCGCCGGCGTCACCTACATCTCAGTGTACGCAGGCACACGGCACACGACAAATTCTACGAATCCCGCTGAGTCCATAAAATCATTCGAATGAGACATGTGACAGCATCTCACAGGCGTTCATTCTAGATGCCACCTGTCTTTATGCGACGCTATAAATGGCCCAATGAGTCTTAACTTCCACAGTTTGCTAAGTGATACCGAAACGGGCTTATTGGTGTGCCCATAGGCAACCAGCAATGCAGTTTGTCACTACACTTCGCACCATCTAGCGGCTGCAAAATAAAACAAATTGGGTAGGCCATGGTGGCACGGGTAGGGGACTGCAGGCGGGCGCATTTATATAGAAACCTCGTGTAAACGTGGCATTTCGGATAGGTGTGAGCCTTTTTGGAACAGTGTTTCGTAAAAGTAATCTCAACTTCACGTCTCTATGACCTCACCGGGTTCCTGTGACATTTCGTCTGCTCCTAGAGTTTGCCCCCAAAATAAAAGTCGCTACTGCTGCATGAAAGACTGCCACTGTCGCGAAGGTGACTCAAGCGTTAAACTTTAGCGCTTACCTTTAAGATCTTGGGTAACGAAATGACGACAAAGTAGATTACTGCAGTGCGACGCATCATGTAAGTGAATTTTACATTAATTCTTGAAGTGAACGAAGATAGATCTGCAGTTTTAGAAAGTGGTCTGACAAACTCGTTTTGCAAACTACTCGGCAAAATATCATAATTATTTAAGTTGTTTTACGAGTCTCTGTGACAACCACGTCAAGAAATATAGTAGACAAAATCAGTCCGATTGTTTTGTCGCTGTGTTGTCGAGAATCAGGCGATGAGGTCTTCAAGCGTGAGGCCCGTCGGCCCGTTGTGGCACTCGTAGTTGCAAGCGCGCATTTAATCGCGACCGCGCGCGCCCTTCGGCACGCGCGGTCGCAACCAAAAACTTGCGAGTTTTCAAATAGTGGATTTTCATAGAAGAAATCTTCGTTTGTTTCGGCTACCAAATCTAATCCTGAGTATGGTAACAAATGTGACGGCGTGCAGAAAACAGGATGCAAAAGTTTTTATTCGGGAAAAGCTCATACGAATCGGAAATATCCTTCGCACACGTACACTATGTTGCCTGACGCCCTTTTACACCAGGCTTGTGTACAGCATAAAGAGTTTGGTTCTAATTATCCACATTTTATTCTAGTGTCGTGGGGGTGTCCGCAGAAGAAGAAGACGGTTGAGCGAGGCGCAAGCGGAGGCCAGCCGGCGAGGAAAGAGGAAGAGCGTGCTACACTAGGCTGGGGCCGGGCAAGCACGATAGAGCCCTCTGGCTGCTCTGCCCCATCGTGATCCCCGGATCATTCCAACAGCGAGGTTTCGATCAAGATTGGCGGAAACAGCGAGCCTTGGCCATACCGGCCCAGGCCCTGACGGTCCACGAGTGGTTCCGCAGCGAGTTTCGGGCTAAGATAGCCCGGAACACCTAGCCTACATAGCGCTGGCGTGGAAAGGACGATCCGCAGGGGTGTACACGGACTCCGACTGCGAGCTTTGAACGACAGGCGACAACTAGGGTCGGCGGGTCCGAACTGCCACCTCTCTAAAACGGGCAATTATTCCATTCGCTACCTTCTTGTTGTGTTGTGTCACTTCCCGGGAGAGGAGCGAACCACAGACCGATCGGGAGGCGATTATTATAGATGACCCCACAAGCGGTAAAGACACCTTAAACTGGTGTCTAAATGCCAACTCTAGAATATGCTTTAAACACTTCGGCCTTTCAGGGCTGCGACGGTTTGAAAAAAACGCATAAAACAACCAGGAACATGACGCGTACGTGCACACGTGGACTGTAGAAATTGGGGTCGGCGCCGCTCGCCACGGCCCGACTGGCAGATTGTCCTCCCCGTTATTAGAGACCAGAGACAGCTCCGCTTGTGGCGCTGAATGCAGCACAATGTGGCGCCGGCTGGCTATCATGCACTCGCGCCAACTTGCCACGAACGACACACAAAGGCATGATATCGCACAATGCGAAAGATCTCACTCGAAGCTTTGATCGATCATGACGCCGCCTTTTTTGCACTTTCTGAGTGATGACTCATTTGCGAAAGGTACAGTGAGGTGCGCGGAAAGATAAAACGGTTTGTGTGTCTGAGTGCTGATAAGGATTATGTAAGTAACTCAATTATATCGCAGCTGTGTGAAAGTTGTAGTTGACGCAATCATAAAATGCTATGCCCACCGGCCCCAACTTGGCAACGGGAGCCGAAATCCACGCGATCCTTTCCATGCCACAGAGAGAGGAGCGCTAACCGTTTGGAGCGCTTCCCCAACTCCGACCTTACCGCGCCGCCTCGAGACGCCATCAGTACGTCGGCGTCTCGCCGTCTGCCGTGTAACGAAATGTGAACGCCGAAGAGAAGCGAAAGCAACCCCCTTCCCTGTCCCCTCTGCCGTCCACAGCTGGATGAGACACTGCGGTGGGCGCTGGGAAGGAGGCGGCTGCAAGTACAAGCACCCCCTTCCCCCCCTCCTCCGCCCTCCACAGGACCCAGCGCGTTTACATGGCCGAGGAGCAGGCGAGCGACACCCAAACCCACCCTGATCCCCACGCAGCAGTAGTGAAGCGCGAGTCTCCTCGCCCGCTAAAATTGCCCGGGAGCTCACCTGACCAACCCATCCAAGATAATGCCAGATCTCATGGTGACTCGTGATGGCCATGGTCATCAGACTCACGTCATCACGCAGACTAATGCCATCACCGGACTCAAATCCACCTTAACCCAACATCTTGATTCAGGCTCATGCTCATGAGCCTCGAAGCTCGCAATCACACTCAAGAGATCTCAAAACTCACCCTGATGGGTCCTCAGAACTCAGGCTCACGCTCACGCTCTTCAGTTTTCAGAACTCACACTCAAGCTCATGAGCTCTCGGGACTCAAACTCACACTCAAGAGTTTTCTGAACTCACGATCACACTCACTACCAAACTCACGCTCATTAGTTCGCAGGACTCACACACACACTCATGAGTTCTTAAAACTCACGATCACACTCACGGTCAGACTCACGCTCGTGAGTTCTCAGGACTTAGAGTCACACTCACATTCATGAGTTCAAGTAACTCACTATCAAACTCACAATCACACTTGCAATTTTCCGAGATTCGAGGCCTCACCTTGATCACCTCAACTCTGACGGTGAGCGTGAGTGATCGTGAGTGATCGCGCTCATGAGTGAGAATGCCGAGGTAACTCAATCAGACCGTTTTTCCTCCTTTAACATAGATTTTAACAATCTTACATGAATTCAATCTTCCTTAAACAACAGCTCCGAATTCGTAACTGTCAATAATTTGAGCCCTTCTCTCGCTACCGTTGGTTCTGGTGTTCTGCAGCGATCTGTCTTAGGACGATAGTCATTCCTAATTTATGTTAAGAATCGTCCAATTCACATCCCCTCACCTATCTGTTTACTTGCTGATGACTGTTTGATTTATTGGAAAATAATGGATCATAGTGACGGCTATGTGCTCTAGTCTTATATTAACAATATTGTCCAGTGGCTTGACATGTTTTATGGGCCATAATTCTAACAATTGTAAATCTATGTGCGTATAGCTTGTCCTACGAAAATTTTAGTTAGATTCCTAATACAGCGAACGTAGAAGCTGTTACATTGTACGAATATTTAGACATGCACTAAACTTACAACTTCTCCTGGAAAGCTAATATTCAGTACACCACATACAATGCTAATACCATGTTAGGTCATATTAGGCGTAATTTTTCAGTAACGCCTGTACCTTCCCAGTTAATTTTGCAGAAGACCCCAATTCGACCCAAATTAGAATATGCAGCATCTATCTGAGATCCTGTTATGCCTTTCTCATTGATGCATTGAAAGCCATCCAAAACAGATCTGCTCGTTTCATAGTCACTAATTATGACTATACAAGTAGTGCCATAAATATATCAAACCTTATCGCTCCCTCCCTTTGTTCTATGTCATAAAATTCCACTCCCCTCCTCATTTCGCAAAGTGTACTTTTATAATTCTATACCACGGAAAAAATTAATTGTACGCCCAATTTAAGTTTCCTCTTGTCTTGCTCATCAACAGAAGTTTGGCATCCCCAGCGTTAACACAAATTTCATTTCATTCATCCTTTCTTCCTCGTACATTTCAAAAATGGAATCACCTTCCCGGCTCAATTGCTTTCATAATGGACTTGGTTCATTTTAAAATCTTCGTTACCTAATTGTTAACTGGCGTTGGTAACATGCCCGCGTAGTCACTGGGAACATCGTCGCAAACAGAATAAACGTGGCTGGGCGCCGCCTATGCCGTACCGACCATTTTCGTCTTGTGGGGAGTTGCCGGTCCCGGCCCAGTAGGACCGTGGCGGCAGACCCGCACAGCCCCTACCACAACCAGCTGTTATGTGCTACTTCGGTTGTTCAGAAAAAAATCCACAATTATTTTGTTTAACGATCACGTATGTTAGGACGTCACTTACCGTCAAGTTCACTTCCTTTACGGTAACGTTGCTGTACTGGTCTATAAAGCATTGAGCTCTCTTTACAAATTCTTCCGCTGAGCTCTCGGTCCACCAGTTTCGCAGCTCTCCATCACCATCAAATTGACTTCCTGGTGGCAGAAGTGGACAGAGCATAAAGGTAAGCATTACAATTTTATTTGATTTGTAGCTTAGCCCAACATTGCCGTATTAAAAACAGCTTAGACTTAATTGCGAGTTAAAAGCATGTTTTTTTCTTCTACAGCTCGTTAAAAAAGCACAGGCAGGAAACATGAAGATATCTTAATCATCATAATTTCGAAATTTCCTTGTTAGCGTTTGCCATGTTAAAAAGAAAAAATATTTGGCCAAAGAGCCCAAACACGTACTTGAAAAAATAGAGTGCAGGCGAGCTGGTGTAAGTTGAACATGATTGTAAACCTGAGATTGGGGCAGGAAGGGAACACAACAGAAGGTAGTAAAAGAGGAGGCGACGTCTCAAACTCAGCTGCAAAGTTTATTTCGTACACACAAAAAAAAAAGAAAACATGACAAGAGGACGATGACATTCCTCATAGTGCAGCGAATGATCAGTGTGTTTGATCGGAAGAAGAGGTCGCCTTCCGAATGGATCTCATCAAGGTACGGCCAGTAGGCTCGGATTTGTTCAGAGATTACGTTTTTGTCCTCTGGCCACTTCGTGCTTGCATACTCCCCCAGGATACGGAGATCCTCATCTTGGTTCGTTGCCCGCTTGATCCGTGGAAGTCTTTCTGCAGGAATTGAAAGCTCTTGGATTACGTTCACTTGGAAGTGTTCTTCCTCTGGTACCTTCCCTTTCAATGGAAACCAATACAGGGCGTGTGTGATGAGCATCTCGTTTCCCAGCTTGTATTTATCTTAAGTGAATATTCCTGGAGAATCAGGCGCATTCTTTGCAGACGTAGCGGACACTGGTGAAGCGGTCTCCTGATCATCGCCTCGAGAGGGCAGTGGTCACTTTCCACCAGGATGCACGGCTGAGCGAAGAAGTAGTCGTGAAAGCGTGAGCAGCCATGCAAAATGGCTAGCATCTCCTTTTAAATTTTTGCATATCTCTCTTGACTTCAGTCAGTGAGAAAGAAGAGTAGGCCAGGGAACATCCATTCTGCAGGATGACCGCTCCTAGTCCTCGTTGGCTAGCATCTACCTGCAACACAAGGGGCTGCGTCTTGTCGTAGTGTGCCAGAACCAGTGCCAGTGATAGGGCTGTCCGAAGACGCTCAAAGATCTCTTGTTGGGAGTCGGCCCAGACCCAAGCGTTGCCCTTCTTTAGCAGGTCTCGTTGAGGTGCACTTATGTCCGACGTGTTCGGAATAAACCTGGCAACGAAGTTCACCATTCTCAGAAATGTGTTCAGTTTCTTTGAATATTGTTTTCATTTCTGTCTGCAAATACTTGGAATCTGAACTGCAAGTATGTCCTCCGCTCTGTTCGAGTCGATCGAGAGTCCTTTGTCGGTTAGCACAAAGCCTAGGTAGCGTACCTCCGCTTTCAAGAAGTGGCACTTGACCAGGTTCAGCTTGAGGTTCACCTCTTGGCACCATTGCAGGACACTTTATAGACGTCTGTCGTGCTCTTCTTTTGTGGAACTCCACACGAGTATGTCGTCCATGACCACTTCCAGGTCGTCGAGACCTTGGAGGACCTGGTGCATTGCTCTATAGAAGTCGTCTGGGGCAGCCGCAATTTCGAACGGACCGGAGGATATTTTATCTTCCGCAATGAGTGCTCATGGTGCACAAATACGAGCAGGCCTCTTGTCAAATTCAATCAGTCAAAATCCTGTGGCAGCGTCTAATGTAGAAAAGTACTTGGCACCCTCGATGTTCGTGACGATGTCCTCGAGTGTTGGCATACGGCAATGCTCCCTCCTGAGCGCTTTGTTGCGGCCAAATGAGTCCAAGCATATTCTTATATGGGCCTTCTTGACCACAACTAACATCTGGCTGGCCCATTCAGTCAGTTCGGTGCTTCTATTTGGTCGAGTTCAGCCTTGACCTTGTCACGGTGTGCCAGTGCGACGCTACGGGCTGGTTTAACTACACCTTGCGATCCTTGGCGCAGTTTCATGTGGAACACTACCCCACGTAGTTCACCTAGACCCTTGAAGGTCTGTTCAAACGGTCGTGCCGCTTCGTAGAGTTGGCCCTCTTCTGCCACTAAAGCCACAAGTGTGATGAGCCCTATCTCGTGGGGCAGTTCACCGCTGAAAATTTGCTTGCACCGGCTCCCGCACAACGCAAAACGGTGCCCGAGCAGCTCCGTGTTTGCTGGACACTTGCAGAGTCACCTTTCCGGCTGCTTTCTTTTTCTGACCGAAAAATGTGTTCAGTAGTGCGCTGCTTGGCTCCAACTCCTTGTGTGTTATCGCCTTCAGTTGCTTGAGTGAAATCACTGAACTGTTTGCTCGTGTATCCAAGTTGCGAAACCACTGGCTTTCCTTCAATGTGGATCTCGGCTTTCCGGATTCCACCCTTTTTCCGTGTAGCTCGACGAGACAGCACGGAGAAAGCAGCTTCCTTCGCATTCCACGCTGTCAACTTTCCGGGTCTTCATCTGCCCGGCGCCTCTCTTGTTAGGCTTCTTTGATCGGCACACGGTCGCGAAGTAGTTGAGCTTTCCGGACTGCTTGCATTTCTTGCCTTCTGTGGGGCAGGCTTAGTTCTTCTGGTACGCGTAACCACACTTCGCTCACGCCTTGTTAATCTGTACGAAGTTGCCCTCTTCAGTGCCGTCCTGGTGCTTGTCGGCGTTGCCGCGGCCTACTTCGGTCGTTTTCTGTATCTCTTGTACCTGCTTGGTCGTCTCTCGCGTGCGACAAATTTTCCCAAGCTTGCGGAAATCTGGGTTCTCGTTGATCAGATGCCTTTGCAACCGCTTCTCATTTATGCCTTGGAAGATGCTGCTCTTCAACATCCTCTCTTCGAGCTGCCCGTACTCGCAGTTCCGGATGAGCGTACGAAGCTCCGCCAGCCATTCATCGAAGCGTTCTCCCGACTTTCTTTGTCTCGTGCCGAAAATGAAGTCGTGGTACGCGAGGTTAACGACGGGCTTGCAGTGCTCCTCAAATCTTTCAAATAGCTTGTCTACGTCGTCGCGATCCGCTTCCGTTTCGAAATTGAACGTGCGGAAGTTCCTCCGTCCCTCTTTACCGATTAGGACCAAAAACGTCGCCGCATGAAATTCTTTAGCCTTCTTTGCGAGCCCGGTCGTAGTCGCGTAGAGCTTGTACTCACTCGGCTAAAGTTTCCCTGCCACCGAAAGATCTTGAGACATATCCAGGGGCTTCGGGACTGGTAGCAAGTATGTCGCGTTTCCCGCTATCGCTGCTGTAGCCATTGCAGCAGCAGGGTTGCGCGGCTGTTCGGCGAAGGCTCAGCGTTAGGTCTTTTGAGATTAGGCCTACTTCGCCAGGTTCTTTGTGTCTTCTCACACCATGTAGACCGCGCGTAGGGACACACCCGAACGCAGTGATTGCTGAGAGACAAAGACGTTTATTCGTGCGAATTTGGTTGCGACTACAGGGGGCTGGCGGCGCTACTTGTGCCAGTAATGCGTATAACGATGCCGCTTGCCACAGTTTTTAGGACCACTGAGTTGGGAAACTAACATAGAGCCCGCCCTGAAAAAGTGGTGCCGATCCGTACTCGAGAACCAAGCTAATGAGGATCACACCGCCGCCATTTCTCCCGCAGCGGCAACACGAGGAACTCCATGGAGTACCGCATTCTACAGCGTCCGCTGTGACTTCTATGTTTGGTTTACTCGGCCATTTCGGTGCCGAAACAGATACGGGGGAAGGGGTTTCAGGGGTGCCACCCCCGTCTCCCAAGCGGGCGCGCCGCGAATTACTACCGAAGTTAGGATGCGCCAAGGTCATGACACGCAGCCTGAAATCACCGCGGACACATGGGTGTATAAAAACAATATTAATAGTGCCGGAAAAACTTGCGAACAAACATTTTGTGCTCAACTCTAATAAAAGTTACTACAAAAATAGTTTTCTTCCGATTGTTTCTTACGCAAACAGATGCTTTCTGAAAGCGTAAGGTGACCACAGAAAAGTAAAGGATTAGGAGCGGTGCTGTTGTCGTATTTACCTCGGCCTCGGTGGATGCCAGCGGCCAAGGTTTCAACGGTGAGTTCCCCAACTTAGTGTCTTAGTGACGTTGGTCTGAGTTAAGGACCTAGGGGAAGGCTAATGCTTCGATGAGTTTTACTCCAAAAACATGTTCTTGGCTATCTCGCGGCCGCTTCTGTTTACTTAAACGTAGGGCTAAAGTATCAAACTTATGTGCGTACTCTGCGAGTGTGTGTGTGTGTTTCTCTCGTAACGCTCGGAAATCGTTAAAAAGAAAAACATCGACAACGACAAGATGTACAAGCACATGCTCGGAGATAGAGAAATTTCCGAGCTGGTCGAGAACCAGATACTCAAGAGTGCTTCTAGGAGGGGAAAACGTTCAAGCTGTTCCTGCATGAATTGCACATCAAGATGCAGGTAGTCGAGGAGTAAAACCTCATGAAGATCGCGTCCGCGTAGAACAACCTTTTTTTTAAGAAACTTTGGGTGTGATCAATTTCCGCCGATAGCTTTGCAACTTTGTAAAGGTCCTATCAAAAGGTTATCACTGTAAAGGCAACTATAATAAGGCGTGCCCGGAGCACGGGTTTCTCCAGAAATTGAAATTAGAGTTGGTGTTTAAATTTCTAGTGTAGGCGGTTAGGGATGGGGCATTGAGAACAAAAGAGTTGCGAATTAGGGGGGTGCCTTCTGAAAAACAAGGGTAGCGTAAGACCCCCCCCCCCCTCCCCTAGGGGGTGTGTAGGGAAACCACTGGTCTGGACCATCTTGATTCAAGAAGTTGACTAAATCAAGGCAGTCATCAAACGTGTTTGACACACATGCGGGGGCTCATTCGGAGTAATTTAACATATGTGTGACGCAGGCTTATAGAGATAAAGATGTGATCTTGCCACCCTTGACTTACCGCCATAAATACTTGTAGCGGGTTAAGCTGCATTAAACTGCATCGCAATAAGATGTCGTGTCCTGCGTTACTTGAACATAACGCCGCTTCGCCGAAACGGTGCAATATTTCTGTTTGTCTGAGCGATATTCTTTATAACCCCGTATGCCGGCAAGAATTATGGTCGAAAAATTAAAACAATCAAAATAATTGAAACAACTAATGTTCATATGCTCCGCTTTTTTTTTTAACAAGGCTTGTTTGGAGGGGGGGGGGGGAGGGGGCGGCTTTCTTAGCTGAGGTAAATCCTGTTTGATAGCTGTCAATAAGCGTATGAGATTTTTTTCGTACAAACGTTATTGGTGTAAAGGTTTTCAAAACTCGCCTTATCGAGGTATGAGCTAGATATAAGAAACATACTGAACTATACTACCGTATTTAGTGGTCTATAGCCCGCCCCTGCTAAATCGTCCGCAAAGGCCGATTTCAGACGAAAAAAAAGCTTTTCCTTAGATGGTCCACACACCGTGCATAGTCCGCACTTGGTGCCCAACCAGAATGTAAAATTGATAATTCACAGCAGATCGTGACAAACGCGAGCTGTATTAGTGTTCACAAAGGAGCTGCTATCATGCATAAATCACCATTACTATACCACGCGCGTCCAAAAAACATTTTTTAAGAAGAGGGAAACCCCATTCTTACGTTTGGGGGGGGGGGGGGTAAGTGGAAGTTCATTTCCAGATGCGCCGCTAGTCTTAGTAGAATGGGAGTACTTGAATAGTAATAATATTATTTTATCGAGGGAAATAAGAGTAACGCATACTCTAAAAAATGCCCGTGCGCCTATACTATCCCGCGCAACACTCGGAGAACCTATCACCGACTTACGGAGCCAGCTCGGCGAATGACGATGCCGAAACATATCTTTACACCAAGAAACGAAGTCTCCGTTGTGACATTAAGCAATGCAAGCCTGACGTTTTGCATTGCTTAATGTCACAACTCAGAATGAGTTTTTTGCTCTAAACATATGTTTCGGCATCGTCATACACTGAGCTGCCTCCGTAAGTTGCGGTGATGGCCTCTCCGAGTGTTCTGCAAGAAACTAGACGCACGGCTTCTTTTAGAGTGTATAGTTCGTCCCTTTGGATAGCACGCACCGGGTAAAATAGCATCTTTTAAACATGTATAGTCCGCGGACTATACACCAGAAAAAACCGTGCCTTAAATATTAAAACAAATATAATTACAACTTACCACCATTATCAAACCCATGTGTAATTTCATGACCTATAAACATCCCAATAGCTCCCATGTTGATTGATCTGAAGAATACAAATAAAAAAACATTAGGCACAATCTGGAAACACACTTAAACTTTGTTATAAAAGATTGACATCATGCAGAGTTTTAGGATGTGACATTGAAGTAAATATGTTTTTGTAACTATCTAACTTCAAGAACTTTTCAGGGGGCCCTTACAGGCATGGTGTTTCGAAGAATGGTTTGAAATCCAATGCTCTAACAGTACATAAGAAGAAGACCGTTCTCACAATTACTTCCGAAGACGCTGCCTCGGTGGCTCCCAACAGGCATTTGAGTAGGTGCCGCTTCGTAGAATTTTTGTATTATAAATTTAAGGTTATTTTCACGCGAATACAATAGTGTAAAACCCTTAATGTTCGCGAGCCCTTAATGTTCGGGAAATTGAAAATTTTGCGATATTTAAGGCCACGCGAAAATTTCGGGCCTTAACAGTTTCAACGCAAGCGTCTGGAATTCGCGAAATTTAGTTGCCGCGTTTATGTCCTTTTTAACAGATTGGCAAAAAGGAGGGGACGCAAATATAAAGAGTTTTACAGTACACGGTACGCGTCAAAGGCATAAAGTATATTGGGGTTGTGACGTTGTAAGGTCCCCGTCTTATTGTTAAACTACATAAAAAAAGCTACAGGACACGTGATTTATGTGAACTGTTCTTTAAATGTCTTTGTTTCGGCGCTTACTGTTTGCAATGTTTTAGCTAACTTGTCTCAATTATTTGGATAAAGCCGTTATACATATTGAGAAAATGCAGTGTTGTTCACAGTCCCATTGAGCAAGTCAATCTATTTCTATAGTGTGCCAAACTGGCTATTTAATACAAATGAATTAACTAGTTTCTAAGTAATAATTCGCCTGCGGACCTTTCCATACGAAAGTTGTAGAGATCGTCGAGAAAGATATCATTGTGTGATTTACATAAAAGTAGCATTTGTGTATATAATTTTTGTAGTTTTAAGAAAAAGTGAGGCACGCAACATTTAAAAACTATATTAGGTGACTGTTACCTCTAGCAAACAGCGATATTAGTGCTCTTAGACACGTGAAGATTTTCAAATCTCGCGCGCTTTCTTAAAGGCTAAAGGAGAAATAGACGCCCCAGGGCCACGTTGGTGGATACGACACAATGGGGTTGTGAGAATCAGCCGCGCTATCTCGTGGAGGGAAACAAGAATAAGTCCCACAGTCGTGCTCGTTGGCTTATGTATTTTTTTTTGCCCGTGTGCCCCGGTGTACGTGTGAACTGATGGTGCTCGTACTGGCTAGCGCGAGATTCATGTATTAAGGCCACAGTGGAAGAAATACATTTATGTTGCAGCGGTTTGGCCTTGCTGCTGCCCGTAGGGAGGTACGACCCTGGAAATCCAATTCAACAAGACAAGCGTTTATTACCTTTCTGGTTCCCAGCGGCGACATCCGCTGGGCAGAGTTGGCCTGACTTTTAAAGCGGGATATGCGGTGCTTTCACGACCCCCTCCCGCTTGAGCGCGCGAGCGCCCCCACAAGGTTACGACTCTCTGTCCGATGCGGCGACCACATTATGTTCAGCACGCCGAGCGTGCTTCACTCGCACGGGGATAGATGGCGCTCAACTATAAAGGGGCTTGGGAAGGCTTGTATAGAGGGTTTGTGAAGGAAATTATGTATTCTTTACTCTCTTCCTGTGTACTGTAAGATGAAATGATGAATGTTTATCGGCGCATTAGCACTGATTGCCATTTCCCTTGTGCGATTGCTGTTTTTAAACGAGAACATTCCGATGATGAATCAACTTGACAAAATACTGGTATAAATATAAAGCTTCCGGACACAATCTGCTGCGTTTTCAATAATTTAGAGTAACTTAATACAATTTCGCTAAACAGTTGGGCCGTGCTCGCATATTTTGCCCGACAATGCTTGGTAACAGTTCCGTAAATTTTCCACGCACATTGCGTGGCTTTATCGGGGTCGGGCGATTTTTACCACCCTGCTCCTGCCTTCTTATTGAAAAACAAATTCTAATGATGTTACATAGTGGGACCTAAATAAATATTTACATCTCCAGAAAGGCATTACAAATGATTTGTACATACGATGTAAACTGGTACTATGGTAATAGGAACCACGTCAGTAGAAAACATTTTTATTCTGATGACATCGAGATTGAAATGAGGACACTGTGACTGAAAGTCAAACAGTAGTAGCGGTTATAGGATATAGATCACTTTTCATCTATGCACTCAGAGTATGGTGTAACCCCGTCTTACACGTATAAAAAAATACCCGAGAAAAAGTTTTGCTTTAAAATAGATAAAAAGCTGAATTCACTGCATAATACCAAATTACGCCATTTCCTACATCCCGTGTTTCTCGCCCACGCTCTTAAACTTAAACGAGCACTGCTTTGCTGATTTCTTATTTTCTTGAGCTTGTTTGTTCCTACTCATGGTAATATGGTTACAGTGTTGTCGCATTCGCATGCTGATGTAGTGGTGGAGGAACTGGGCCATTGTTTCTTTGCGTTCAGCGCATGCAAACGTTATTGCGAATGTGTCGAGAACACCGCCGATTGTGCCTCTGTAGATAGTCTAGTGGGGCTTTATTTTCCACGAATAACTGTTCCGCTTTCTTTTTTGTAGCTGGAAAAGTTTCCTGTTCGGGTGCATAAGGCCTGCTTTGTTCGTCACGTATGTCAGTGCTGCTTCAGCAGAAGTGTTCTTGGCGATGCTGAAACCGGATCGGCATGCCGGGCAGCCTCTAGACTTTTCAGTTTCACACTCATAAACCCAGTTACATAACATAGTATGCAGCCCACAGACTTGGTTCCTTCAGCATTTTCTGTCCAGACATCTTCGGATTCCCAGTTTTGACAGAAATTCGACTGTCAAGCTTGGTCTTCACTTAATCAACGAAATGAGGAGACAACGGGCTTTTGTACGTTCTGATCAGGGCTCTGAGATCTGACACGTCGAGCAGGAACGTAGCCACGGGGGGGGGGGGGGCATGGGGACAGGTCCCTCCTCCCCTCGAAATTTTTTATTTTGCTGGGACCTCCTCTCCGCCCTCCCCCTCATACACCATTTTGTCACGGGCGCCCCCCCCCCCCCCACCCCCCATACAAAGATCCTGGCTACGTGCTTGACGTCAAGTAATGACCTCTCCCCTTCGACTACTCAACAGTTGCCGAACTTCGGAGGCTTTAGGATAGAGTAAATGCACAAGGTGGAAGAATACCCCGAATTGCAGTTGCGACCGAAGCACGTCTTTCCCATTCTTATAGCATAACTTCTTCTTCGGGTCAAGGCTCACCTTCGCGCACGATGGTGGCACCTGTCATCGACAGAGCAACAAAGCAAAACGCGAGGCCAGCCGCTGGCCGAACACCACCACCACACCGCGAAAAACTGAGCTCGCTACGCCGCCGACACCGTGGTCGCCGAAGAGGGACCTCATACTCATGGTGCTCATAGCTCAGCGCACTCCGCGGCGGCGGGGAACTAACTACTCCTGGTTCGAGGCTACCGCCGAACACGATTTGGTCGCTCGCTCCCCGCGTGAAGAGCGGCCAGAGACATCACCTAAATGTAATTCTTCCGCCATGGTTAAGTATAGCCTCCTCTATACTGACAAAGCCTGGCAGATCGGCACGAGACACTGCCGCCAAAATTGAGAACTTAGAGCGGCAGCCAACTGATGAGAGGAGAGCCACGTGACAGGCGCCCCGGTGGGGCGAGACGCCGAAACACACTTCTCCCGAGCGATGGAATGTCAGCTCGTGCTCCTCGGGTTCTTCGCGCTGCTGCTTCTTTTCTTGTCGGGTTTGAAACGCATGTTTCGGGTCCTCGTTGCTGCAAAAGTTGTTCGCTGACGATTAGGTTCCCCGAGAAATTCTCTGCGCTACCAGATCCTCGCGCTCCAAATCTGCGACCGGGCACTCTATGGCTCCGTCGTCGAACTGCCATGCATTGTGAGTATAAAGGAGGCTATGGTTAAGGAAGTTGAGATGATGGGTCGGTCACGGGAGGTTTTTTTGCTTAGGCAGCTCGGAAGATACCTCGATTGTGAATAGAGGACTTCTCTTGGTCAAATCTTGTCCACTATTTTCGAGTGGTGATTATCTACAACCATCGTCACTGGGTCCTGATCACGCAATCCTTAGTAAAAATAACCTTCTTCACTGGGGTGTCTTTCAAAACGCTCAAAAGGTTTTGTGTTAAATGGTTAGCGCGCTAATTAATGTTTAAAACAGTTAGCTGATTAATTTTCGTTAATTAGCCAGTTTGACTTAACACAATATATATCTTCACTTGCTTCATAGGACTGCAAAAAATACTGCGTTGGTTCGACACGCGTAGCGGGGATAAATTTTTTTTTAAGCCTTGGGACAAGCCGGTTGAAACACCCTGCATATAAAGAATTAAGCTAAGATCCATGGTCCATTTTCATCTTAACGGCTGTCACGCACTGGACGAACTCCTTTCTCGCGCTGCGCTCTCTCGCGCAACTGCTGTATCGTCTGACAGAAACAATAAAATTATATACATTTCCCACGACGATTCAAAGAAGAGCCGTCGCAAGGCGCATGGACTAAATCAAGAGTGCCCAGTGTGGCATGGAGTTGAAGCTGCAGACGAAATTACAAAAGTTCAGAGAGCCGCAGAAAAGAAATGGGAAAGAGGGGCTCCTTTTAATAATAAACGATACCGAAGTAACTGCCATTTCCCCAAGGGGAAAAGTACAATTCTCGACTACAACAAATGGAACAATGAGTGCATGGTTCGCCGGTCAGCCGCTGCCCCTGATGCCGGTTATGCGTATGCAGCTCGAAATTATTTACAAAGAAATAAACGAAACACAGTCACAGGACACATCTCTGTGTCAAAAAGCAGTCCACCTAGTGTGTACGTCGGATAGTACAGAGCTGCCAAGATTAAGCTCTTTTTTAATTCCAGAACTCCCGTCTTGTGGACACAGGAGGGGAAGATGGCCCCGTTTACCAGGGAGCCGGGAGCAGCACTTGGCTCCCGGCTCCCTATGAACGAGTAGTTTTTACTTACTCTTCCGTGTTTTCGACGTAAACCGATAAATACAAATATTTACCCCCGAGGCGGATTCCTCCGAATCGGTGAAAACCGAAAAAGGCCAAATTTGAATTGTCTTTGAAGGAAAAAAAAAGCCAGCTTTTCGGGGAGAAACGTTTACCTTAATTTTTTTAATTTTTTTTCTTCTTATTGACCCTGAACACAGACGCACTGAACTGTTAGTATATATAATTTATATTAACGTTATATAATTTATAGTAACTTTATATACTTTATACTAATGTTATAAAATTTATACCATAATATATAATTTATACTAACGTATAAATTATACTATATTCTCTAGTAATTAGAAAGTCGCTTTACAACACAAGACAGATAAACATCGATATTTCTCCGGCATTGAAATTAGACACCCAAAAACACCAACTCAAAGGAAAGATACTGTACCGGTACGTTCCCGGCGGGACCGCCGAATGTTTTTACCAGACATGTTCATCTAAAGGTTATGAATACCACGAAAACCGAAAAACCATTGGTTAAAAAAAATAATAAAGAAAGAACGAAAAAAATGAGGCGCTCGAGCAGAGAAGGAACGACCGCAGCTACGAGCTAGGGAGCTAATCAGCACCGGTTCTAGGTTCAGACTCTTCCGATAAATTTAAATGTTTTAGTTACGTATCTTGGGTGTTTTGTACAGTACTTCACCCGAACGCGGGATAAACAGTCAGAAACGTCAGAACATACACACCGATAAAAAAAAAAATTAATTTCAAGAAAATTAAGTACCGAACGCACGGAACCTTATTTATAGTTTAGATACTAAGATAAAAGTTGCCATTATGGAATGTTGGTGTCGCATCTCCTCAATCCGGGGCAAATTAGCTGGATTTAGCAATTTCGCTGGATGAGCAAGGATTGACAGAACTGAAGTTCAAAATTCTTCCATATCCACCACACTTGCTTGAGTTGGCTTTCTCGTACTTAAACCTGGCCCCGAGATTTATAACATTTCTGACTGGTGAAAACATTGGGCCAAATGAAAGAGGCCATCGAGGCTGCCGAGTATTTTTTTGGGAACCTAGAAGAAAGTCACTTCTCAAAGAGAATGGAGAAACTGGAGGAACATTGGCCCGAGTATGTTGTGATTCGAGGGATATACGACGAAAAACGAAGTATAAATTAATTAAGATTTAGTTTCCTTCCATACTAATTTCGGATACCTTACATATATACGCTCAAATTGTTTCTATGCATTTTTTGGTTATTTTGGATTTATGCTGCTGTGTGCGGTGCTCTGCGTATTATGTACCCATTGCACTGCAATGCGCACTACCCACTCAAGTCGCGAGGAAAACAAGGGCCAAAAAACGCCGCCACCCTTAAAAGCGTCAACATCAATATTTGTTTTACCAATCTCGTATAGTTGTCTTTTCAGTTATAATTACATTTACCACACTGCTGGTGCAGTGGCCGATACGTTTTCGTATTGTAGGAAATCATTTTGAGAACACACTCGATTAAATTTTTGAAACCACTCACGAAGGCACACCGTCTTGAAAATATGGCGGCTGAAGTATTGCAGCAGGGAAGACTGAAATATAGGAGGTATGTCTGACCTAAGTATTCAGCAAGAACAACCACTGATGCACTAAGTAAATAGTGTTCGTTAACATTTTCACAAATACTAAGGTATGAACATTTCTGGAAAGAAAATATGCAAATGATCTGTAGTGAATTTAGGAGATTAATACAAAACAATGTGTTGTGAATTTAGAAGATAGTGATTAAAGGCATTCAGAAAGGTCACGCAATTACTACATGCATTATTAGGTGTCTAGAACTCTCCGTTATGTACGTCTTTTTTTTCTGATTTCAATTCTGTTTTATAGGAAAATTTTCTGTTCCAGTTGAGCTCAGGCACGAAGAAATAATGGTCAGTAACGGTTCCTAACAGTTTGTGTTCTGGTGCAAAAAAAAAAGAATCATAATCAAAATTAAGAAAAGAAACATTTTTTTATATATAACGTAGATCGCCAAAATGCTTTAGCAAGTGCTCAGTTATTACAAAATGTTAAATTGAAAAATGCGGGGGAAAAATACCGCGAGGAAGAATGACTCAAGCAGCTGTGAAGGATCTCAGAAGGAGAACGTCATTAAGTGTACTCGGTGAAATGAAATACCTCCGTTCAAATCAAGTAAATTTCAGCGCCGAGAACGCCTGCTCCACATTGACCTGTATAGCTTGTACTCAACAGCCACATATGCTCACGCTTACAGTTCCGGTTGGTATTTCATTTGTTTTTCCTTAGATGTAAATACATTCGTGCTTCTTCGAAGGTGTCGCACCTTATTCAGCACTTCCAGCAAGCATTCCATGTCCAGTCGGCCTAGCTCGCTTGTCGAATAAAGCTGATCGTCAGTAAAACTTTGTTTGGGGCTAGCTGGTTCATATCGATTGAAAGGTTAAAAGGCGCGAACAAACAGGACAAAAAAAGAGACAAGAGAAAAAGAGAAAAAAAAGGTGCCTGTCCATGTCGTACGTGTCTTCTTTTTCGTCCTGTTTGTTCGCGCTTTTTAACCTTTATCTGATCGTCAGCCTCGGTTTTTTTTTTCTTTTTGAAAATCGCTTTGAGAGCATATTCTGTTTCCTCTGACGTCTGCCACCTACCGACGGCTGTCACATTCCTCGTTGTGTGGAGCAAATACTGAAGTAACTAAACATTTTCTTTAAACCAGAAACAAAGCAAAGTTTTTGGTTTGACTCCGGAACAAGATATTAACCCTTTCAGACGCCAATCGTTATTTCCGGAAATATTTTTTTTTTGTGTCTGAAATATCAATTTACAACCAAATGAGACGAAATCACGTGCAACTTACAAGAACATCGTTATAATAACGTTTCGATCATATTTTATTTCCGTCCAAAAATATTGTTTTTTGTTCTTTTTTGACACACTGTTATTAATGTAACACAAGGAATGAGGGAATTAAGAACATAATTTATAGCCAACTTTTATTTGAAAAACTTAGAAGCAAAAGTTAAATGAACATTTAAAGGTTGAAAGTAAACAACTTGCAAATAATGGTTGAGCACAAAATTGCATTTAACATTTGAAAGGATACCTGTAGTCTCCAGTGCTGCAAATTATTGTTGGGGTGAATAATAACTAAATTACACTTTCCGTTTCGTGAGCAAAATAGAACATAGTAAATATATATTACACCTTATAGAGCCAAAGTTAATTGCTTTTGTGAACGGATAGTGTTTAACGGAACTACAACTTCTCAGGTATCAAATGTGAAAAAAATCCCCTTTTGTTTTTGCATAATATTTCCGACGCACGAAGAGCCTTTTGGAGCTTCGCTGACTGTTTGTTCCAAGTCACAAGTGAACATTTAACCTAATTGGGTAGATTGGATAAGCAAAAGGTTATGAACCCTTATGTTACCCATATTTTAATAATAAAGTTATTCGAATCAATTAAGTGTAACGTTTATAACTACTGAAACCTCGAAAACGCGTTAATCTAAGAAACGCTTATCGGCAGTCCCGGGCAGTGATTCAACCAAAGAGATTCCCGGAATCTCCTAGTGTCATTCAAGAAGAACCAGTAATTTGCTTTGCCGGTCGAGTTTGTCTACAATCCTTCAACTGGCTAAAACCAGTAATTTATTATTGCATCCACAGTAACTCAAAGAAAGACAAGTCAATGTCACGGGCACAAGCTGTGCAAGTTGGCTCATTGCTTATGAATGGGGCTTCCTCGTACTTACACCACGTCTAAAAGACCTAAAACTATGCCTATCAGACCTACGCTAAGGAATGAGAACATTCCGACAGCAAAAAGGTGAATGTGTTGCAGGAAAAGAAATTCCGAATTCGGTTTGTCGTCCGCGATAAAGGAAAGTACGGAGAAAGAGCCGATCAAGTCATCCCAGAAAATTTTATTCCAGTCGTTCAAAAAAGAACTGCATCAATAAAAAAAGCCATCCTGAAGATACTAGAAAACAACCAGCTAGGCACTCTTGTCATAAATATCAAAGCATCGAAGAATAACCATATGTTGGTCTTGTTCTCTGCTAAGACACACAAAGAGGGAGTTCCGTCCTGGCCCATTGTATCAGAAATAAATACTTGGCAAGCACAAGTGTCAACATTTCTGGCCAAACAACTGTCCCAAGTGCAGGTACAAGACACTTTCAAGATTTCTAACTTAGAAAGTGTGATCTCCTTTCTGCAGGAAAATGGTTCTAGCATTGCATCTGGATTTTCTCTTGATATAAATGATATGCATAATTCTATCCCCCATAGAGGCCTCCTAAACATACTTCGAGAAACAATTGGACAGCAAGGTCTTACATGATTCCAAAGTGCGACTGGCATGGCCCTCGACAGCTTTTTGGAATTCCTAAGTGTTTACCTGAAGGGTGACGGTGGTTTCCTATCAAGATCAGCAGTATGTGCAGAAAAGGAGTGTATGCATCGGGTCTCGAGCGGCTCCTTACTTCAGCGATGTGCTTCTCGCAACATGCGGACTTGCTATCCAACGAAGCATGATAGATCCCCGGATTGCAGTCATCTTCCGCTACGTTGATGATTTCTTAATACTTTGTAGCACGGAGTTAGTAGAACAAAACAACGGTTACCGCGAGTATGTCATGAGATGCTTTCAACAGAGCTGCTCAGGACTTGAGTTCACTCATGAACTATACGAAAACAAATCTATCAGATTCCTTGATCTTGCCTTAGACTTTAAAGATGGCCACGTCCGCTGGCGATACCAAGCTCGGTCCTGCAAAGGGTGTCTTCCGTTCGAGTCCGGACACTCAAAGAACGTGAAAAGTGGTAATGTAGTGATTGCGCAGGCGAGCTGGTGGATGTTAACCATTTTGTTCTTAGCCCGAGACTGAGGCAGGAAAAGAGGAAAGTTTCGAAGTAGAAGAAAAATGAACAGTCGAAGACACGTCTCTAACACAGCTAAAGACAAGTTTATTTCGTCACCTTCTTATATACACTCCACAAACTTCACCACAGCACCTTCCCGATCTCGAAAGCCAAAAGATAACATAGGTCTCACATCTTTCCACCACAATTGTCAAACGACCTTGACGTTTTCCACAAAGCAATGAACAATAGCTTCCCTCATCCGGAAGACACTTGTCTGAATCCTTTGCGTACACAGTACACTCTCTCCCTCTACTCTCCGACCCATAATCACAAAGCATCCCGGTAACAGAAGATATCAATCCACGTGATACACAAAGGAAGAAACCACTTACACCTTCACATTCAACAAGCACTTCACAAAACTTTCAAATCCGCAAGAATGATTTTGCGCTGCTGCTAAGCTGTAACGACACCTGACTAATGCAGTTGCCCATTGATTTCATTCTTATTGTTTCTTTTACAACCCTTTTGATGTCGTTTAACTCCCTGTGTATTATCTCTGTTTCAGACCAGTGGGGTATACAATTATTACATTCTTGAACATGTTTCGCTATTTCCGAATTGGCAACGTTGTTTTTGACATTCCTTTTGTGTTCAGTCAATCTGTCATTTATACACCTTGACGTCTGCCCCACATATTTAAAGCCACATTCCAGGGGGATTTCATATACCACTCCATTACCACACGGAATAGACTTTTCTCGGTGCGTTTTTGCGCATTCCCTTACACTTTTGTGGAAGGGTGTGAGCTTACTTAACTTATAATCCGAACTAAAAACCAGATCTACATTGAACTTCTTGGCACAAGCCTTTAAGTTGTGAGAAATTTTGTGATAAAATGGAATTACAATAGTTCTATTTTTTGGCCTTTGCTTTGGTTCTCCTGTACATTTGTTTGCGAATTTTACGGATAACTGCTTCCTTACGAATTCATCCTCATAACCAGCACCGTTTAGCCTTCTCCACTGTCTTTCTACCGATTCATCCGAGAAATGTGTACATGATCTTTCCATTGCATTTGTGATTAAAGACTTTACAATACCCGCTTTCACTGTTTTTGAATGGCAACTCTTTTTTGACAGCAGCGGTTTTGCGTTTTCTTTTCCATATTCCCAACATAGCCCTTTTTCATTGTGAATCATAAGTTCTAAGAACTGCAGTCTACCATTCGTAGGTCGTTCGACCGTAAACTTCAGTTCCGGGGCTGCCGATCTGATCAATGCTTCCAGAGTGTCAGATAATCCCTCCCGAAAAGAACAGATCAAAATGTCATCGACATATCTTTTCACAAAACAGGACTCCGACGTCATCTCCTGCAATCTATCGGATACAATACAATCCAAAGAATTAAGGTAAATTTCCGCTAACGCCGGTGCGACACTCGACCCAATGCATACTCCCTCTTTCTGTAAATACTTTTTCCCTTCATACTTCACTATCGTTGACTGCAAGTAATAATCAAGAATGGCAAGAAAACTCATACAAAACTTGAAAGTATAAAACAGAGAGGACGAGGACGAGAACAGGACATCTTTCATTTAGCAACAACATAGAATGGCACAACGATAAAAAACCGCCTCCAAGGGTCTCAGCGTTCTCAAAGAGGGAAAGGAGATACTAGTTATGAAGGAAAGGGAATACAC